ATACTGTGGATTATGAGCTAGCGCTCCCAACACTCATACTTCCTGTAGAGCTATTGTAACTAATTTTTTAGACAAAATTAGGACTATTATGATTAGTTGTGATTAATTTATAGTGACCGTGGCTTTTCAAAAAAAAAGCATCTACGAAGCAGCTTGAAACGCTATTTTCAAATCTATCCTCCATATCTGCTACACGATTTTTAAAGGAAGTTATGACATTTTCTATTTGCAAAAAAAAGCGTGCATAATCTGCCACTGGCTGCTCTAAATCTTAGAAAATCACCCAAATAATGAAGCAAAAGCCCAATTTTTTTGGCAAGGCTTACTCTAGTCAGCAACTGAGCTTTGTAACACTTTTTTGCAGCGAATTTGGAACATTCGAGCAAATGGCACATACTGCAGGTTTCTTTTTTTCGTGGAAAGAATGTTCTGTAACTTTCAGAATCGTTTAGCAGATTTGGAGTGCAGAATTAAAATCAGCAGAGGCACATCTAGTTGCACGCCTTTTATACCTCAATTATGAATTATAAACTTAAAAGTTTCAGCAAATTTTCAGATGTTGAGACCAACAAACTCAACTACTGCAAAATTTGTAAATCAACTTAAAAATGACAAATTTATCCCAGCCTCCACAGGGACTACATCGCTCTCGACTTTCCCATCACCTACTACAGAATTTTCATCTGAAAATGAGAAGAGCAAAAGTCACTGCAGATGGAACGGAAGCTGCGTTGGTCGTGAGCTTAAAATGAAAAGCTGTAATCTGTACAAGTGCTTTTCGGTTTTGGATTCCCATTTGAATGAATCGCTCGCTACATGCGTAGAACTCCGGATAGGCTAGTTGCTCAAACATTGAGATTATTGCAATGACGTACCCGCACAAGAGGATGTAAGCGATGACGCCTATTGACCATACGTCCACTGCTTTTCCATATGGCTTCTGCTGAAGGACTTCTGGTGCAACGTAGCTGTATAATTATTAAACAAATTATTCTTGAAATCAGCGATTCTAAATGATCCTTCCCACTAACCCTGGTGTTCCGCAAGCTGTTGCCATCACCCCTGAATCTTCCGTCTTCGATAAGCCAAAATCCGAAACCATTATTTTTGAATCCTAAACGAAACGAATTGATAGAGGAAGATTATTTTGAAAAATCATAGTTTAGGTCACTTACTATGAATCTTACCTCATCCTGATTGAAGTATAACAGATTCTCTGGTTTCAGATCCCTATGCACTACTCCATTTTCGTGCATAAATGCGACTGCATGTAGCACCTGTAGCTTATTAAATTCTCTACAAAGATTTAGAAAATTCA